AGGGCAAGAAAAGTCAGGTCATTGGCGTGCTGTAAAAAACTGCTAGAAAAAACTGTGTTTTAGCAACTTTGTAGAGCGCAAAGTCTTCAGTTACTGATGATTTTAAACTTTATAAACTGGTTTCTGATATAGCTTTAGTTTGGAAAAGTATGACTCTTGTATCCGATTTTGTTTATTTCAGCAGCGTTAGCGTACTTCATTACTTTTTCATGCAGTTAACATGTGTCAGAATAATCTTTTCTACGTCGTTTTTTTCAGTCATTACACAATTCAAAAATAACACCAGTCGCAAAACTTGGTCGATTATGCAGAACTACTCTCAGTTAAAGAAAACATCAGGACGTAACTGGAAATTATCAGATGATAAGAAATGACGAGTTTTGAGTGTAAAATAAATATTATGCAGTACAGTAGAAAAGTTTTGGTATCAGTGTTTCTACATCAAAAATCTCTGTAGAAGAGAAATAGAAAAAAGAAAAATTTAATAAAAAGAGGTACCAGAAGCATCATATTTTGTAATAAAAAAGCACCATTTGAAATTGAGACTACGAGTAAATGAGATTGTAGATCAGAGAGGAAAATACTTCTGCCCGTAAAGTTAACAATTATAAATTGTTTTTAGACGGCGGTGAAATTTCATCTTTATATCAAATATTTCGTTCTCTTCTCGGCTCTTCTGTAATACACCTCTGTTGCTTGTAGATACAACCAAATTATAACCTCTCTGCCACTTTTCAACATTTTAGAGGCGTAGAGAAGTTATCAATTTTACAAGTTTTTGGAGAAGTTTCCGAAATTTTGGTGAAACATGTATCGTCATCGCTGCAGTATCGACTGTCATTCTTAAGTTTCACATATATTTTTAAACATAAGATTAATTTCAATAGACGTTTTTTAAATGATTGAGGAGAATTCCGGTGAACAAAAAGACTTTTTTTCTTAAAAACTTTTGGACGCTCGAACATTATAAGGTCAAATTTGGGCAGTATCATGAGAACATATGTTTCTTT